CGCGGAATTGTTCCAAGAACCTACACGATGTTCGTATAACATAACGCGGCCGCATCAAACCACAAGCCAGTCTGAACCAACTTTGCTCCAACAACATGTCGCGCAACACATGACGGGTTCTTTGACATTTCTCTGGTGGGAGGGAAAAGCAACAGCATAAGCAGATGTTTTAGAAGCCCGCGCGGGTCTCAGAAACTCTATGCGTATGCGGTCTTCTTTTCTTCGGCCAAAAGTCGGGGCGCATTGGCGAAGGCCTGAATATGACCGTGAGTATGGATATGCTGCCATAGGTAGCACATACTAAGGAGCGAATGGGGCTTTTCTGGCCACGGCGGGCCTAGGCCACAAGGGGGTTCCACGACATGAGTCTGAAGAACGGCCCGAAAACCCGAGCCCCTGCTGAGCTCAAAGCGGTCCTTCTTTGAGCGTCTTCACCATATCATCATATGCGCTGCCGGTGGGTCGTGTTCCGAAGACTCGGGAGGGAACCCAAATCTATTGCACCACCCCCTTTCCGCTGGACCCCCTTGTGTCGGGATCCACTAAAAGGGGGGGTGACCCTGAGGGGGGGCACGAGTTCGATCCGTTGGTGCATCCAACTCCCGCAAGCAAATGCCCCCCCGCATGGCAAACCTCTCGGCAACTATCGGGAGCCACTGGCGGCTGGGGGGGGGGCATCTGTTCTGGGCTGCTCGGTCCAACAGCCGATCGAACTCACATACGCACACACAACACACAACACACAACACACAACACACAACACGCACAACACACACCACACACACACACACTGCGCACGCCACACACACACCACACACCACAAACACAACCACAACCACAAACACACAAACACAAACGCACACACACACATGACTGCTGTGATGGCTGCTGTAATGGCGATGGTGAAGACGATTGGCCCAAGATGGCCTCCGACATACATCCAAGAGGCCGAGATATATAGCCTCCGACGTTCCACCAAGAGGCCCCGAGGTCCCCGAGGGGTCCACGAGACGATTCTTGGGGCTGTCGAGTGGCAAAACCTCGCACAGGCCTGCCAGCAGCCTCTCAGAAGCCTCTCGGAAGCCCCTCAGAAACCTCGCAGAAGCCTCTCAGAAGCATCTCAGAAACCTCGCAGCAGCCTCGCAGAAGCATCTCAGAAGCATCCCAGGCCTCAGAGGCCTCAGGGAAGCCTTTCAGCAGCCTCAGAGAAGCCTTTCCGAGGCCTCAGACAAGCCTCTCAGAGGCCTCAGAAAAGCCTTTCAGAGGCCTCAGAGAAGCCTCGCAGAGGCCTCAGAGAAGCCTTTTTCCCAACCATCCTGTGGTGTTGGATCCTCGTTTTGAAGAGACGGCCCCCGCGTTCCGAGCTGCGAAGCCTGTGCTACTTCTGAGACCTGTGGGATGTGTGTGACCTGTGGGACCCTTGGGACCTGCAAGGCCTGCGAGACCTGTGGTGCCTGTGGGAACTGTGGGGCCCGTGAAACCTGCTGAACATATGGAAACTGTGGTGCCAGTGTGGCCTATGGGACCTGTGGGACCTGTGGGACCTGGGAGACCAGCAAGACTTACGGGACATGTAAGACGTGTGGGTCCTGTGGGGCGTATGGGAACTGCGGGATCTGCGAGGCCTGTGGTACCTGCGAGACGTGCGGGGCCTGTGGGAGTTGTGTGGGGGTGGTGGAACCTGTGGGACCTGTGGGACATGCAGAGACTCTGGGGCCTGCGAGACCTGTGGGCGCTGTGGGACGCGTGAGACCTGTGGGGCCTGCTGCGCCTGTGGGATCTGTGGGACCTGAGAGACCTGCGAGACTTGGGGGACCGTGGGACATGTGGGGCCTGCGAGATCTGTGGGACCTCCAAGACCTGTGGGAGCTGCGACACCTGTGGGACCTGGGGGGGATGTAGGACCTTTGGGACCCGTGGGATCTGTAGGACCAGCGAGACCACCTGGGTGACCTGTGGGACCTGTGGGCGTTGTTGGACCTGTAGGACCTGCTGGACCTGCGAGACCTGTGGGGGTATGTGGAACTGGTGGGGCCTGTGGAACATGTGAGACCTGTGGGACCCGCTGGACTTGCGAGCGCCGAGGACCCACATAAGGAACTTAGTTGGGCCCTGGGGCATTCCTTATAAAACTTGGTGGGTCGACGGATGTCTCGTGCTTTGGGACCTTTAAGGCTCTCATGGAGCATCGTTAAGGAACCCGAAATTTCCTTACGTCAGCATTGTTTTCTTTGAATGGCCGTCGGAGGCCCCAAACCAGCCATCCCGCTTGGAAACGAAAATCACCTTTTTTTCGGGACTTGAAAGCGACTCTGCTGCGATCGCCCCCACAGCTGCACGGCATCCAGAAATTCGCAGGCAAAACAATAGGACCCCCATGGAGGCAGGCACAACCCCAGACGGCACCAACAGACCCCCTGAGGAGCTCTACACAGGCCACAATGGCTCCGAATTGTCCCAGAGAGCCCAAAGACGGCCCAAGAGTGCCCTTAGAGGCCCCCCCAAATACCCTGCATAACCCCCGAAACCACGTGAAAGCCCAAAGAGAAGTAACAATAAGATCGGTGTGATGAGGTGGAAGAATGGGATGGGTGACAACAGGGGGACGGGGGTAAGTTGACGACAAAGACGAATGACTACGCCCCGAAACGACGCGGAAACACGCGTCACATGTTGCGACCATTGCACGGTGATGGTCGACGTTCTATCGTGTATTAGGGTTTTCTTGGCGGTGCTCGGAAAATCGCCGTGCAGAAAGTTTCGCAATCGCGGTGCGCGGGACTTGCCGCGATAAATCGGCCGACCGCCAACGCACAATTCTGTACGCACTACTGCGATACGTATGCCTTGTCAACGAAGTCGCGCCATCCACGGGCCCACGAGGCCCTCCACTTTGAGATGCGCGCAATGCAAAACTGATCGAACACAATGCGCATCGAGGATGGGGTAGGCAACGGGAAGAGATCGGGCGAAATGCGAACACCGAATGAGCAGCGCCCCGAGAAACCTGGCACGCGCAAGCGCCGGACGACAAACACTGAACGACATTCAAAAATACTGGCGTGCCACCAAGAAAGGAAAGGTGGCGGGGGCCCCGCGAACCCATACAGAACAAGCTTGGCGGCGTGCTAGAGGCTACAGGCGGCGTCGTAACGCAGAGGCGTCTTGCCCGCATGAACGAGCGCATCGTCACGCAGCATCAGTCCAATCACGCCGCGAGAAGCATCGCTGTGCGGAGGCAATCCGCTTATGCTAGACACCTGCAGCTGGCAAGTGGAAAGGGCGCTACGCGCCGCCTAAGACATCGTGCTGCAAAGCCGCAACGACAACATTGCTATTATTCGAACTCCCCTGAACAACGCGCGCGTGCGTCGTGGCAAACGGACAACGCTGCGCATCATCGGCACTCGGTTTCGGGCAAGCAGTTACGAGAAGCACTTGTCAACAGCAAGCGCTATAACAAAACAGCCCAATTAGCCTGGTAAAAGGCCCGACCATATGCAGTTGTGGATACCGCAATTGTGACTATCTTCTTAGGTGAAGCTCCCTATGGGGCCACGAAACGCTGCACTGGGGGGGGGAACGCATGCGGGCGGTAGCACGGGAGCCGTCGGTGGAGCTTCCGATGGGGCCACGAAACGCTGTAGTGGGTGGGCAAAAATGCAATATTAAATGTGTGGGACACATGCGGGCGATCCCACTGGGGGCTTCGGTGGAGCTTCCATATGGGGCCACGAAACGGTGCACTGAGTGGGGACGTGGAGGTTCACTGGGCGTGTGGGACGCATGCGGGCGGTCCCACTGGAGGCTTCGGTGGAGCTCCCAGTGGGGCCACGGAGCGCTGCACTGGCTGGGTGGAAATGCCACATTGGGATTTCGGGACGCTTGCGGACGGTGGCACTGAGGCCTTCGGTGGAGCTCCCTATGGGGCCACGAAGCGCTGTACTGGGTGGGTGCAAATGCCGAATTGTTCGGTGAAGCTCCTTATGGGGCCACGAAACGCTGTACGGAGTAGGCGAAAATGCCAAATTGGGATTTCGGGACGCCTGCGGGCGGTCCCACTGGGGGGGGCTTCGGTGGAGCTCCCAGTTGAGCCAAACGCTGTACTGGGTGGCTGAAACTGCCACATTGGGATTTCGGGACGCATGCGGGCGGTCCCACTGGGGTCTTCGGTGGAGCTCCCCATGGGGCCACGAAGCGCTGGACTGGGTGGGTGAAAATGGGACGCATGTGGCCACCCCCACTGGGGGGTTCGGTGGAGCTCCCTATGGGGCCACGAAGCGCTGTACTGGGTGGGTGAAGCGCAGGGAGGAGGGGGGAGGGGGAGGGGGGAGGAAGGAGGGAGGAAGGAGGAGAACGCGGGGGCCGTCTCTTCAAAACGAGGACCCAACACCACAAGATGACTGGAAAAAGGAAATCTTGACAACCGACCCGAGCTTCCGGATGTGGTGGCTTCTTGCGGGATCGCGGGGAGCAGGCCTTGGAGAGGCAGAGCGCCCTGGAGCGATGAAGGGCGAAGGCATCCCCGGAGATCCAGCGTTGCGAACAACATTAAATAATCGCCGAAAATCACGGCCAGCGGCCTGGACCCCACCTTTTTGTACAATGTTTTCGAGCCGGATCGACATGTGAGGGTCCCGGGGCCCGAAGCCGGGTCGACCACGCCCAGCTCGAAGCACTTGCACACTTGCAACGCCCGGATCCCAGGGAAAGGCTCGGGCGGTCGCTGACGTGGGGGTGACTTGCATGGTGGCCCCGCGTGCCCCCTTTCGGGTCCCGAGAGGGCCCTGTAGGATCCCTTGGGCCCCCTCCCATGCGGGTCACCCCGCCTCGACGGCCGCCCGAGAGGCGAGGGCATTCCCGTTTCTCCGCGGTGGGGGCACGGTGCTCTCCTCCGCCGCGCGGGGGCCCTGGCTCGGCCCACGAGCACTTCGGTGCCTCGGGCAGCAGCGGCGCGGGGGCCAAACAAGAAGAGAGCGGGCTCTTCTGCGCCGACGGTATCAGGCGGTGGCCTCGTCGGCCTCTTCCTGGGCCTCGGGGAGCGCGCGGGAATAATGGCATGTCCAGGGTCAAAGGGGGGAGCGGCAGGGGAGGAGGAGGAGGAGGAGGAGGAGGAGGTTGGTCGGTTGAACACTTTCAGGTCGCGTATGAAGCCGCGGGCACGGCCTCTTTAGCGAGGCTGCCGGGCGAAAGGCGCCCCGAGAGACCCTTGCCTGGCCGAGCCCCGGCCTCCGGCGAAGACGACGACGACGATGACGACGATGACGACGATGACGACGACGACGACGAACGACGACGTCGACGAAGCTCACGGCGGCCATGGCGGCGACGGCGGCGGCGACAGCGGCGACGACGACGAGCTGTAGGTCCGGAGAAGGGAGGAAGGACTCAGGAGGGCCCCCACGACGGACAACTTCGCAGAAACCCCAGAGAGATCGCCCTTGCATGTCCATCGGGCCAGCCGCCGAAGACGCCCCCCACAGGCCGCCCCCCCACAGGCCCCCACAGGCCGCCCCCACAGGCCGCCCCCCCCCCACACCCCCAATTTCCCCAGGCAGGAAACATCCTCAAGGAGGGCCTGCCGCGCATCGGCGCCCGTCCACCAAAACCGGGAACGCGCAGGGGGTGGGAGGATCCAAGCGGGAGCTCGCGGACACGCTCCATCGAACACGCTCCACCGGGGCCGAGCGGCCAGGTTTGGCGCAAGTCGGTCTCACAGCCCCAGAGGGCCGCCCCCAGATCGAAAGTTCTCCGCGCGGGCTGCCTGATAATACAAGGAGTAGGACGGGGTGAGGGGGTGGCCGACGCAGGCGGCGATCAGACCGAGAGCCGATCTGCAAAGGTCGGATGACGGTGCCGTGTAAAGGAAAATGGTGCGCGAGCTCCCCCTCCCTCTCTATCTCTCACCCTCCCCTTCCACCACGTCGTTATTGCACTCTGAGGTGCAAGTCATTTGGTGCAGTATATGTGGTGCAAGGTTGTACACAACATTTGTAGCGCGAGTTGTTTGGGCAATTGCGCTACCGAGGAACCCCACAAACTCTTATTATGGCTGGAGTGATGATAGCTGAAGTGAAGCATGTGAGAATGATGTTGGTGGCCGTTCCCTGCGCACCCCCTATGGTATCGAGAAAAAGCCACGCCTGTTGCGCCCTGGACGACCGGCTCGGATAGCGGCCGCGCTCAGAGACCACCACCTGCGGTTCCCCGAAGGTTGCGAGAATATACCACGCCTGGTAGGCCCTGGACGACTGGCTCGGATAGCGGCCGCGCTCAGAAACCACGACCTGCACCCCCCCTGTGGCGTCGAGAAAGTGCCACGCCTGCTATTCCCTGGACGACTGGCTCGGATAGCGGCCGCGCTCAGAGACCACGCCCTGCGCCCCCCCAATGGTGTCGAGAATATGTCACGCCTGCTATGCCTTGGACGACCGGCACGGATAACGGCCGCGCTCAGGGACCACCTCCTGCGCACCCCCTTATGGTGTCGAGACAGTGCCACTCCTGCCATGCCCTGGACGACCGGCACGGATATCGGCCGTGCTCAGAGACACCCCCCTGCGCACCCCGTATGGCGTCGAGAATGTGCCATGCCTGCTATGCCCTGGGCGACCGTCACGGATAGCGGCCGCACTCGGACACCACCACGTGCGCACCCCCTATGGTGTCGAGAATATGCCATGCCTGCTGTACCCTGGACGACCGGCTCGGATAGAGGCCGCGCTGAGACACCCCCCTGCGCACCTCCATGATGTAGAGGATGTGCCATGTCTGCTATACCCTGGACGACCGTCACGGATAGCGGCCGCACACGGACACCACCCCGTGCGCACCCTCTATGGTGTCGAGAATATGCAATGCTTCCTGTGCCCTGGACGGCCGTCACGGGTAGCGGCCGCGCGGCCGCACTTGGACACCACCCCATGCGCACAACGTATGTTGTCCAGAAAATGCCATGCCTGCTGTGCCCTGGACGACAGTCACGGATGCGGGGCATAAGTCAAGGTGGCTACAAATGCTTGACGATAAGAACACTCACCTCGCCAGCGTTCCCCTGTGCCCTGAGCAAGTCTGGCACGGATAGCAAACTTGCGTACCGAAGTGCCCTGAGCACCACCGTCACGGATAGAGGCCGCGCTCAAGGACCAACCCGTGCGCACCCCCTGCGGTGTCGAGAATATGCCATGCCTGCAATGCCCTGGACGAGCGTCACGGACAGCAGCGCCCTGGACGACCGGTACGGATAGCGACCGCGCTCAGGGACCACCCCCAGCGCACCCCCTATGGTGTCGGGAAAGTGCCATTCCTGCTATGCCCTGGACGACAGGCACGGATAGCGGCCGCGCTCAGGGACCACCTCCTGCGCACCCCCTATGGTGTCGAGAGTATGTCACGCCTGCTATGCCTTGGACGACCAGCACGGATAACGGCCGCGCTCAGGGACCACCTCCTGCGCACCCCCTTATGGTGTCGAGACAGTGCCACTCCTGCCATGCCCTGGACGACCAGCACGGATAGCGGCCGCGCTCAAGGACCACCCCGCGCGCATCCCCCATGGTGTCGAAAGTGCCACGCCTGCTACGCCCTGGACGACCGGCACGGATAGCGGCCGCGCTCAGGGACCACCTTCTGCGCACCACCCATGGTTTCGAGAAAATGCCAATCCTGCTATGCCCTGGACGACCGGCACGGACAGCGGCCGCTCTCAGGGACCACCCCGTGCTCACCCTCCCAAAGTGCCACGCCTGCTACGCCCTGGACGACCAGCACGGATAGCGGCCGCGCTCAGGGACCACCTCTGCGCACCACCCATGGTGTCGAGAAAATGCCACTCCTGCTATGCCCTGGACGACAGGCACGGACAGCGGCCGCTCTCAGGGACCACCCCGTGCTCACCCTCCCAAAGTGCCACGCCTGCTACGCCCTGGACGACCAGCACGGATAGCGGCCGCGCTCAGGGACCACCTTCTGCGCACCACCCATGGTGTCGAGAAAGTGCCATTCCTGTCATGCCCTGCCCAATAGCTGTGTGAGCTCAGGATTATAAATATACCATTAACTCTAATCAACATTTAACTTAGGATAAGTATCCTTTATCCGGGGGGTCGATTAGAGGATAAGTATCTTTCGTTAGAGATAAGTACCTTCGAATCAACATATAATTCAGAATACTTATCCCCTGGTCAATATATGATTCAGGATAGCTATCCTCTATTATCATCCACTTATTATATATCACCACCATCATCATCGTCATCATCCTCCTCATCATCATCATCATCATCGTCATCGTCATCGTCATCGTCATCGTCATCATCAGCATCATCATCATCATCATCATCATCATCATCATTATCATCATCATCATCATCATCATCATCACTGTAGCCCCTTCTTGGGACTCAATGTAGCTGGAGGCCCACCTCGCGCGGGGCCCGCGCGGGCTGGAGAGCGATGGTTCCCAATGATCCCCATGTCTTTGGGCCAGAGATGTTGGGGCGAGAAGGAGCTCGCTTTGGCGATGATGGGCAAGCCGAACGCATTGCTGACGTCGAAGGCAGCAGCACGAGCACCAGCACCAGCAGCAGCTTCGACGGCAACACCAGCACAAGGAACTTCGACGAAAGCATCTTCGACGGCACCGCCAGCGCCTTCGACGGCAGCACCTTCGACGGCAACACCAGCAGCACCTTCGACTGCGACAGCAACAACTCCGACACCAACACCAGCACCGACGCCGCAGCCACGACTGCAAGTAGGGCTGCAGCCGCCGAGGCCCAGAGGACAGCGGCCAGTGTTGCCGACGGGGCCACAGCATGTGTTGCCAGCGGGGCCGCTGGTCAGGAAGGCGCCGATGCTCATCGAATCGGCGCCGATGCCGCCGCCATTAGTCGCGCGGCCAGCGGTCATCAATGAAACAAAGAGGATGGAGCCCACCTACAAGAGGGCGCCGCCCACGCTGGTGCCCAAGAAGCCGCCCACGCAGGCGGCGTGGCCGCCTGAGGCGCCCAATGCGCCCGCGAAATAGCCCAAGGCGCCCGCGGCGCCACCTCCGCAGCGTGCGAGTGAAGCGCGAGAGCAACGTGACATGACGAAGAACGACCAGCAACAGTGTACGGCGGGCAGCAGCCCGACAGCGAGCACCCCGACAGCGAGCAGCAGCGCCCCAACAACATCGCGAGGACGATGGGCAACACAGACGCCATGGACGCGCCGACCGAGGACGCCATGGCGCCGACCATAGATTGGCAGTGGAACCCGTTCTTCATCGGCGGCGTCTACGCGCCGCCCCCAGACCCCGACGCGCCGAAGCAGGTCGGCAAGATCGGGGTAAGGAGCAAGGGGAGAGCCGTATACAAGAACGTCAAGCGCATCTGGGGACAGGCGTACGCCGACCAGATGCAGATCGAACGGCTCGGAATGGAGGGGCACTTGACGGCGCAATCGGTCCACCTCCAGAACAAGAGTAGGACGGTTGGTATCGAGTTCCAGACAGTCATATCAGCAATATCCCCGACAGCAGCACCTTCGACGGCAGAGCACCTTCGACGGCAGAACCTTCGACGGCAGAACCTTCGACAGCTTCGACGGCAGCACCTTCGACAGTAGCTTCGACTACGACACCTTCGACAGCAGTACCTGCGGCAATGTCAAAGGCAGCAACGACTCCAAGGTCCGAGTGGCCGCCGTGGCTTCAGCAGGACCCCAGTGGCCAGGTAAGTATGGGACCCCCCCAGCGGATGAGTATGACTCGCCAGCGCCGGAAGAAACAACGCCACCTGCATCGCCGACGGCAACGCCAGCAGCAACGACAGACCAGCAGCTCATCGAGAGGTTCACGGCGCTGAGGGGCGACTGGCCAGGCGTCGCGCTGACGGACCCCTACAACCCCGAAGGCGAGCCCTAGGGTGGAGAATGAAAACTAGAAAATGAGAATCACCCTCCACGAGCGTGGGGCGTCATCAACCTCATCATCAGCATCGCCATCATCACCGTCAATGTCATCAGCGTTGGCACGCCACCAACCCTCCATCGCCATCGCAGTCATCACCAGCAGCGCCATGCTCATCGCCGTCGTCGTCCCATGTCATCCTCCTTCCTCCCATCCCTCCATCCTCTCATCCATCCTCTCCTCCACAGCCTCTTGCTCATCAGGCGGGTTGTGTTGTTATCGCCCCCTCGTGGGGAGGAGGCGGCTCGATGATTCAGCGCGCGAGCCCCTCGGACGTGCCGCCGAAACCTCGGCGCCAGCGCCCGAAGGAGTCGCACTTCGTCGGCACGAGCCTCGCCGACAAGTTGGACGACAAGGCGAGCCGACGTGACGTGGGCTTCGCGTGGGACGGCTCTGGGTACATGAGCTCGAGGACGCAGGCCATCGACGAGGCGACGATGCTTCCGTACGCCGAAGCGTTGGGCACCCTCCTCGACGTTGCGCCTGCGGGCTTTCCAGCGCACAAGTGCCTCGAGGATGCGCTCGAGGAGCTGAACCAAGGGCGCGGCATCCTCGACTGCGAGGCGCGCTCCTCAACCAGGGCGGCCAGCATCGCAGCTGACAACTGGCGGATCATGACGAAGCACCGCTACAACACGGCCGCTAAACAGAAGGTTCTGGACAACAAGGAGCTCCAGGAGCTGGCGAAGAAGATCGAGCTTCCTTCTGCAGAAGATGATGCTTCAAGCAGTCTTGCATCAGGCACCTCCTTCGACGCCAGTACTGATGAGAGTCCGCCCCCCATGGACGCGAGTGCGGCCAGGAAGCTCTCCCCGCCGAGCGGGGCGTGGAGGGAGGAGATGGAGGACGATCAGAAAGGCGATGGTCACGAGGCTGAATGGGACACCGAGCTCGAAACCATCGAGTCGGAGAGCGACGTGGAGCTCTGCTGAATGACGCGCAATTGCCAAGCGTGCCGTGAGGCGCGCGTGGTCCACCTCGCATCCGATGATGAAGGCGCGGCTGCGGGCGTTCCGGGCACCCCGATGCCGATCGCGAGCGCGGCGCTCGGAGGTCAGAAACGCGAGACAAAGAAAGCCGCGACGACCACGGGGAAAGCGAAGGGGGCGAAGGGCGAGGGCAAGAGCAAGGGCAAGAAGGGAAAGAAGGGCAAGAGCAACGGCAAGGGCGCTGACCACAACGGCAAGGGCAAGGACAAGGGCAGGATGCAGAAACATAACGCCCGTGTGCGGTATAAGGGCAAGCAACGTCCGACGGGCGACGAGGAACCTGCAAAGAAGGCCAAGGTGCCTCCCAAGGAGAAGACGGTCGAGAGAGAGAAGAAGGACGAGAGTGACGGCGGCGTGATCGCCTTGCCCTCTCGGATGGTCGTGAGAGAGGCTACGGAAAAGAGGCGTGGCGAGGCCTACTTGCTCGACGGCGACAAGACGTACATATTGGGCACCACTGACAGGAGGAGCGACGGGCGCAAGGACCTCGTCGAGCGCGCCATGGAGACGATCAATGCCAATACCCTGAAGGCGAGGATGGACGTCAAGATGTGGTTCGACTCGGAGATCGGGTCCGACGCGCCCCGAGACACCTCGCGAGCGGCGCGCCAGAGAGCTGGCCATTGCGTACAGGAGGGGGCCCTGTACAAGGTCCAGCCAAAAAGTGAAAGAAAACACAGCAGTCCTCCACGAGCGTGGAGACGCTACCGACGTTTCATCAAAGGCCCATCCTCATTCTCATATCGTCCTCATCCTCAGATTCATCCCCCTCATCATCATGAGCACCTTATCATCCTCATCAGATTCAGCATCATCCTCATCATCATCACCCGCATCATTGAGGGTTTTGCTTGGCCATGAGGGCCCCCAGGGCAACGGACATAAACAACAAACTGTAAGTCATCAGCCTCGTCACCCCCGCTATATTCAGTATCCTCATCATATTCACCCTCGTCATCATCATCAGCATCATCATCATCATCATCATCATCATCATCAGCATCATCATCATCATCTTCATCTTCATCATCGTCCTCATCATCACCATCACCTTCATCCCCGTCGCGTAGCCACCCTGGCTCTGGGGCGACGTGCGTTTCCTGATTCGCTCGGGGGCGTCGCGGGAGATGGCTCCGAAAAAAGAGAAGGCGGCCTCGCCGTTGCCTCCAGAAGGGGGGGCCAATGGACGCCGGCCTCAAGAAAATGCCAGCGGCGGCAACATTGGGCCAGAACTTCGCAAAGATGAAGATTGAGCCATCTAGCAGTGACGGCAGCGGTAGCGGTGAAAGAACCGGCGGTGCACAGCCAATGCCACCGCTCAAGAGAGAGGCGCCCGTGGGTGTCAAGGCGGATCCGCCCAATGGGCAGCCCGCGGTGGATGAGCCTGCGGCGAAGGCGTCCAGGCGAGCCTACACGGTCGACAGCGCCTCAGCGGCGTGGCTCAAGGAGCTCATTGCCAACGACAGGCAGCAATACAACTCGTTCATGCACCGCCTGCGCAAGCAGGGCAAGGCGAAGAAGGCGGAGTGGACCACCATCCAAAAGTTCGGTTCGGCGCTAGATGCGGATCATTTCGTGGGCGATATCCCTGGCGAGTCCCAGAGGCAAGTGGCAGAGTTAAACGACGCGTTGCGCCGCGCAGAGACGTTGAAGCAGTGGGGGCTCCCATCAAGAAGGCTCTGGAGAAGTACGACGAGGACGTGCTGCTGGCCCTTGATCAAGGCCAGGACCTGGGAGTCTGAGCCCGACCCGAACATCCCTGAGAGCCTGATGGCGCCGTGGCCTAAGAACCTGGTAGTGCGGCTGACCACGGAGAACGAGGTCGAGCGCCACGACAAGGGCCGCAAGCTCACGGACCATACCCAGATCGATGACGAACAATGCGAAAACATCGGGGTCGAGCAGAACCGTTGCCACCGGCAGCAGGAAGGGGGGCGCGGGCAGCTCCCGCAGCACGAACAGCCGTTGCAATCGCAACCTGCGTCGGACACGGCCGAGAAGAAGATGCCCGAGGCCGCGGCGGCTGCCGTGAAGGCAGCGCGCGCGGCGCACGCGTGCATCGACCCGTCGTCGAGACCAGCAGTACCAACAACAACAGCAAGGGGTGCAACATCGAGCAGGACCTCGAAGCGATGGTCAGCATCCTCTGGGGGAGGGACAAGGTGCTGCTCGTGTTCGAGCGGGAGTGCGCGACCACGAACGGCGCAGGGATCGACGACAAGGAGATCGACTCGGCAGCGGCCGACGCCAAGAAGGTGGACGAGACCATTAAGGGCGGCAGGAAGAAACCTGCTGCGCTCAAATAAATCTGGAGGCTCTGAAGGCCCTCGGTCGGCCGCGGCGGGCGGCGGGGGGAGGGGCGCGGGCGCAGTCACCCTGCCCCTTTTCGCTCAGAGAACGGGGGGGGGGGTGTGGGGGGCCCGCGACGGCCCCGCCAGCGCCGACGCCAGCACCGACGACGCCAGCGCCGACGCATGCGAGAAGCAAACAACCTCCGTGAGCACGGAGTGGCCATGGTCGTCGTCGTCGTCGTCGTCGTCGTCGTCACCATCATCATCGTCATCGCTCTCGTCGTCTCCTCGTCTCCTCCCCACCCCCTCCTCATCTTAATGGCCCCTGGGCCCCTCCCCCCTCCTCCCGAATGCTCATCTTGATTTGTCTGAAGATGAAAGAAAAAGAATTAAGATGAGCACTTTACATATTGTTTTAATCAGTAAGCACATCATCTTAATTCAGATTAAATCAACTTAGATGTGCTATGATTTGCGATGGGCTTTCGGGGGAGGGAGGCGGGGGAGGGGGGGAAAAGGAGGGAGGGCGAGGGGGGCGGCGACGACGGCGACAACGACGGCGAAGACAAAGGGCCCATCTTTCTTTGTGGAAGAGGGGGGCGGCGACGACGGCGACGACGACGGCAACGACGACGGCGACGGCGACGGTGACGACGATGGCGGCGACGACAAAGGCGGCAACGACGACGACGACGATAGCGGCGACGATAGCGGCAACGACGATGACGACAACGGCGGCGACGGCGATGGCGGCCAATGATGGCGACGGCGGCGACGGCGACGACGACGACGGCGGCGACGGCGACGGCGACGGTGACGACGACGGCGGCGACGACAAAGGCGGCAACGACGACGACGACGATAGCGGCGACGATAGCGGCAACGACGATGACGACGACGGCGGCGACGGCGATGGCGGCCAATGACGGCGACGGCGGCGACGGCGACGACGACGAGGGCGACGGCAACGACGAAGAAGGCGACGGCAATTACAAGCTGCTCGAGGCGACGGCGACGGCGACGGCGACGATGGCGACGGCGAAGGCGACGACGACGGACGTTGGAGGGCGGATAGTGGAGGTTGGAACTTGAAGGTAGGAGGGGCATCATCCCGCGCTCGTGAAGGTTTTTTCTTTCCGCCGCAATGGAGCGGCGCGCGCCCGCTGCGGGCGAAAGCTGTTGCACAGCGGCGGCCTTCAGGCCGCGTCCTCGTGCTGAGTATGAGGTGGTCGTAGAACTGCTGCCGTCGCTCAGGCTTTCTGTGATGCGGCCTCGATCGCGTCCTTCTGCGCCCGCGTCCAGCTCGTGCTCGCTGGGCCAGAGCTCGACGGCGGCGAGCCGCTCGAATCCGTCTTCGACTTCTGCTTGCAGCCCGTCGCGTAGCCCTTGCCGTGG